CAAGAGAATTAATCCAGTTTTAATCTAGTTTGAAAAAAAAAATAGTGATTTGTTTTGGTTTTATTCAGATCAACTCCCTGACGCAGTGCACCTCACAGCTGTGTGTCAGCACATGGGAAGGAAAAGCACGGGGTAAGATTAGGGCTGCCTTAGGCACCAGCAGTGTTAGTTTATAAGGATCGTAAAACTGTGGTTTAAAGACAGAACCTGAAATGCCAGGAACTTTCATCAAATATTGAAATCAGCTGACTGAAGACATGGCATGGAGCTGATCTACACAAAATTTTTCAAAATCAAAACTGGCAACATAGAACGAAACTGCATAAAAAGTGGCAAAACAGGAGTTCATACGGGGCATCTCCTTGGTAAGAACAAATGTGTCTCAAGACAATAGAAAATTCCTTGGTATACCAACTCCGTTATTTGTTGGATTAAATAAAGGGGTAGCAAAAGGGCAGGTAGGAAGTTAGGCTCTGTTATATTGCAATCAGAACCTGTTGCATATAGGACTGTACAAAAATATGATATAATATGTTATTACTGCACTATAGCCCATGTAAGTGTAACATGCTAAGTCATGTCAGCTACTCTGGCAAGACATCTCACAGGAACCTGATTTTGCCTTATTAAGTACTGATCACTGAAAAAACACATTAAAAGGAATCAACTTTCTCCAGTAAGTATAAATAGGATTTTTTCAATCACTCCAAATGCCTGAGCAGAATAACTTACTAGCAACATGCACAATGCTTTTAAGAAAGAAAGATATGTGGCTCTGGGGATATCAAAATCTCTCTAAGAGCAGACACACCTCTATAAAATATTACACGAATGCTCTTCTTGAGGGAAAACAAGAACTATGTAAAAGTAGTAAACCGTCTGTTGGCAGCATCCTGATATTTTGCAGCAGTTAACTAAATACAATTTTCTTTTTGGCAAATAACAGAAGCTGAATGCATTTCTGACATGTTGCATAGTTCTTCTTAGAAATCCCCAAACAGTTACAAGCAACACCCACTTCAAAATGGGCAAGTTCCATAAAGTTTGCAAAATTGCAGAGTTCTGTAAACTTAAGAAATTATATTAAAAAAAGAAATAAAAAAAAAAAAAGAAAAATATCTGCTCCAGTGTTTTATTTAAGGGATGTTATCATCTCAGGAATTATTAAAAATGCTATCCACATCTTCTGGCCTCTTCTATGTTTGATTGCTTAGCTCTGCTCTCCTGACAGAATTCAGGGCCAAAAAGGTCTTGTATGCTTGAAGTTTTGGGGGTTTTGTCCCCCCTTTTTTTTTTTTTTTTAATGAATGACTTGTTTTTCAGTCTCTGAGAAAAATCTGAGTTAACCTATGAAGGAAAATAGTGCTTTTTCCTCTCTGTTGATACTTTCATAGTAATTTACAATCAGTGATCAGTGATAAAAGTATTTTATTTTAACAGCTGGAAAATTCCTATCAAACATGGAAATGGTGAGGAGAAATCTTGTCAAATGATATGCCTCTTGGGAACAAGATAGTCTTCTTTCAAAATGTATATAAAAAAAAAAACCAAACACAAAATGAACATACAAACAAAAAAGCAACCAACACACTTCTCCCTCTGCGCTCCTTTCAGAGTGCAAGCAGGGACTTCTGGAGGATGAAAGCTTTCATCAGGTTTATGCATCTGGACAAACCATTAAGTTTTAGATTAACATCTCCTCCAGATCAGTATGGTGTTAATGTATGTGATACCTGCAAAAACACACAGTAACAACATGATACTGATACAATATGGGGCAAGAGAAGGTGGACCAAGGAGTGACACCTAAGTTTATCCAAGAAACATCCTGTCCAAGGAGTGAGGACAGGATAGCATAACACAGCACAAAGCCCCTGTACCATTTATTTCATACATTTAGTAGTGATCTTATGCTTCTTGCACACAAAACTTACATTTCACATGTCAAAGTAGGAGGGCTGTTTAAAAAAAAGCGAACAACAAACCATGACAAATCATACAATGTACATCTTTCATCAGACAAACCTCAGATTGATACCACCTCAATCAATATATCAGATATCCTTCTAGTCTTAATCTTAATCAGAACTTTACTATGAATAAATTTCATTGTCTCCAAACAGTGGGCACAGCTATGGACCCTGAAATAACATTGTCTCTCACTGTATCTTCACAATCTCACACAAAGATAATTGTAGCACCAAATGCACACTGATTTTTGAAGTACACATTCTCAAATTGAGTAATAATCTCAGTTTTCCCCTATTAAATTCATAAGTATAATAATTGACAACGTCCACAGCAATGAATCCTCTGCAACAGTTCTGTGCAAAAATCAACTTAATACATCCCACATCTAGTGCTGAGCTGTAAACACTGATATTACAAACAAAATGACATCCCCAACCTTCAAACTGTTTACTGGCAAAAACCATTTAAAAATATAAAAAGGTATTTCTCATGGTCATACCCCTAGATAAAACAGCATCCAACTGAAAGAACAAGCACATATCCCATACAGAATTATAATTTTTATTCCAAAAATACTTTCTGCATGAACAAAAGGAAGAAATATATTGCATCTTTAAGACATTTGAATACAAGGTAAGGAAAAACAACTGCACGCCACACATCCCTGGTTGTGGTGTGCACCCTAGAAAAGGAATTACTGTAGATACAGACATATTTATCTCAAATGTAACATTCTTTTTCTAGCACAAACAGCCTCATGAAAATCCTCCACCTGTGCAAAACCAAATCACTACACTATGCAACATTAGTAACCCACACAACTGCTCAAGGACAGAAACAGCCAGTTACAGGTAGGAAAACTGTTTCACAAATAAATAAATCTGGTCCTGTCCTCAGCCAAAAGAAGCTTTTCAGCAGCTGCTTATGCCAGTTTAACGGTGGGATGCTACCAAATAAAGAGGTCAACATCCTTCATCTCCCAGTATTTTGATGATTCATTAGAACACTCATTCTATACTAAAATTTGCAGCTGCACATCATTAGTATCAACACAATGAGACTGGTGGGAGGAATATGCACTACTTTTGGCAGTAATCTACAGTTCACTGTGTTAATTCATTCTCGAAACCTTACCCTCATCTCTGCACATTCCTTTAGAAACAAGGCTGAAAATTACATTCTTAAATTTTATTATTTTTGAATCCTAAATTCATGTCTCAAAGTCAATATTAGCATGTGCCCTGTTACACTGAAGCTGTAAACTCTTTTCCACAGCTTTCACCTTTTTCTTTCTTTACTCAACAGGACCTGTAAACTCTACTAACCCTAACACCACACTGTATTCAAAACTATTAACTACTTTGCCTTTTAACTATATAAGTAGTTAAAAGCAATTAGGTCCAGTCAGTAATTAACTGCTTACATATAGCATCCAGAGAACTTTACAAGTATATCTTACGTTAAACCAAGTGATATCTTTGCTATAGGCTTTTCCTTTCATATATTCCACAGATATAGAAAAACAACAAAGCATAAAATTCATAAAGGTATTGGTAGCATTATCTCCAGGCCTGTAACGCCTCAAAACTAGCCACCTACAAAATCAGCTACATTAAAATATAAAAGTTTAATTTAATAATATGAATATGCAAATCAAACTTGACTTTACCCTTTACTTTTCATTTCACACAGTCACTATGTAAATAAACATTACTTCAGAACCTGATAATTCTTCATTCATTAGACTAAGCCACTATAAAATTTACTTCACACACGTTCATTTCATAGTGGCTAATAAGATTATGAAAGAAGCTCAAGAACTTACACAGGTGGCTTAAACTCACAATACACATTTACAACTTCCACCATCTAAGGATATGCGTGCATTTTGAAGATATATGAAGACTAAGTAGCACAAAAAAAGTACTTTCAGAAATGACATTAAGGTTTATTTCTGTGTCTGGTTGATGCACATTGAAAACAGCACTTTGCCAACAACAAATGTATAATAAAGAAAAAGCTCACTGCAAATGCCTTAAAAGACTAGCTGGCTAGAAGCAACCATGAGCAATTATAAGGAAGATAAAGGTGAAACCAAAGCATGTTTGTCAAAACAGTTTAGTTACAGTCACAATCTTTGAGAGTAATCCCAGCTTTCAGGGAATAAGGGAAGGGAGATGGAGAAGATCTGCTGAAATACCAATAAAAAGTGAGTACAGTATCTCCAAGCGCAAGAGGCCCCTGATTTAGAAGCACTTGGTAGGTGACACTTATGAACTATTCTGCAACAAGAGATTAAAAAAAAATAAATAAAAGGAGAAACAAACAGCATAAGTTATGATAAAAAGGGGAGGGGCAAAGCCCTACTTCTCAAAATGCTATGATGACATCAGAAGAGAAATAAACACTAGTCTCCCCTCATGCACTGAGGAAGCTTTTTCATCACAGAAGGCAGATTGGCCAAGCCCAATTTACCCCTTTGGCTCATCCCACTCGCCTTCTTGTCCTTCATGTGCCTGGAAATGGCTTCCCCTGACAAAACACAAGAGCCTGTTATGATTTCTTGCAATCAGAGTAGGAGAGTGTGAAATAACAGGGTAAGTATTCTGTCTTTCTAATTACTTACGCTGTTGCCTTCACACTGTTTCTCAACTGTGATTCTCTGCATGCGCTAACAGAACCTCACTGGTGACTTTGTTTCTCTACACTCTTTGGCAGAAAGACGCAGACCAATAATGAAAAAAAAACCAAAAACAAACAGTTAAGAAGGCTGGATCTTTAAAACTTGCCCAGCAGAAATCAGAATTACTTGCTGCAGCCTTGCAGATATGGTCAACTATATGTACAGGAGAAGCATAATATCCTCTGGTCTGATGCTTCTGAATTGCATTTTAAAATGAGAATACTTTCTACAAAACACAGAACCAACTCTAATTCTGTTACACATCGATACAATGTTGCAATTCCTGTGATTGGCATTTATTCTTCGAGTTTATTCTGTGAACAAGAAGTGAAATGGCTAAAGCTGGTGACAGTTCAGTGCCTCCGTACAGTTCTTACACTATTTTGTTTCTTAAATAATAATTTGCCATTTCTAGGCAAAAGGACTGCAAAGTGGAGAACTTCACTGAGAGTTATCCTTAATCAGTGACTTCAAAGTGAAAAAGTAAACCCTTTGTTTCAAGGCTATTGACTTAAAACAGATTCTAGTCCACAATGTCTCTTCTGGGCACATAAAAGGATACACGCTCTCACTTCCTTGCTTTGCATTTCAGGTACAAGAATATTAAACTCATTTTTAGTTCTCCTTCAACCTGATCCCCAGGCTGAGACTATGTGAAAAGGTACATCTCACCCATCTGAGTGCCATCATAGGTGCTTGGAGCCAGCAAAGAGGTTCCTCCTAAGGACATGAGCAAAACACACCAGCTGCAAAAGACTCAAACCCAGACACTTCATTCTCCTCTGGCAATGGATATAAAATGGGGTTGCAGAAGAAGGTGGCACCATCCCTGATTAGGTTTCAGATATCAAAGAGGTTACCTGCAGAAAAGCTGTTTCCTCTCCAACAATGGACTGAACTTACAAAATGCCAAACCCTGATTTTCACAGCCTAAGATTCTTTTTTAATTTTTTTTTTTTTTAAACAGGCAGTGTCTAAACAAGACAAAGCTATTGCTTCAGGAGCTGAATTGCTTTTTTCTTTTACTGAAGAAACGTGTGCCAGTGGAGGCCAAGCCTCCGCTCAGAAGCACTGCTCCACAAAGGTCATACCATGGAGTGAGGTCAGGGTGTGGTAAAATCCAGGACTGGGCTTTACCAAGCTGGACTACAACTATGCCAGGGGCTGGCTAGACAAGGGGATGACTCAGAAAGATGTGGAAAGCAGTTCAGTGACACACTCTTGTGCCTAAGGAAAAAAGTAATTTGTTCATGCTTCTAAAGTCTTGGGAGAAGCCTCTTTCCTCAATGTCTGTGCAGCTGCCTCTAAGACATACTAATGTATATAAAACAAACTTTGAAAATTAAAACTCGCATAGAAAATTTGACCCTAAAGATGAAATAAGACCATGGGAGGGTCTATGGCTAATAGCTGGAGTACAGGACACCACTGCTCAATGAGATAGTTAGACAGAGAATCTTAAAGTGAGAATATATCTAAGAGACACGGAGACAGGGTCACTGACTAGCATGGTAACAGAACATCTCAGAAAACACATGGGATATGGCAGCTGAGATACAAAAAAAATTAGACTCTTTTAAGGGACCGAGACTGGATTAATTTCCATATACATCAAATTTAGAGAATTTTATAAAGTGTCAGAACAGAAAGCTCAAGTGCAAAGTCATTATGCTAACACAACTGCATACACTTCTGACGACAAAATTAGTTATTGTTCTTACCATAAGAACTACAGTACCAAATCTAGAGAACACAGATACAACATCCTTGCTAGACAGTATTAAGGACCTTACAACTCCTACAAAAGTTAGAAAGAATGAGCTGAAGCATATAGTCACTCCAATTTCTTCTTGCTAATAAATCATAATTCAGTTGGATAAATAAACTAATACTTCACTAATAAAACCTCAGAAAAAGAAGTTCTCAGAAGAGAACAGCTTCATTTTCCACAATTTTCCATCTTCCAGTGCCATAATAATGATTTTCAAGCGTAGTCTTTATTCTCTCTAATTGTATTCAGACTCCTAACTTTTTGTAGTTCAGAAAGTTTTGTCCAAGTCCCTACAATCCACTTAATGGTTAATAAAAAGATCTGCTCCCCTGGGAGAGTTTCTATTATCATAAAGGCTCAGAAGTAGGTTTCCATGTGCAACTGTGTAGAAAGAAGGTAAGTTTTACAGACTTCACTATATATTTTTTCTTTTTGGAAAGAACAGCAAAAAACCCTTAAGTCTTATGGTGATCTCATTGCGCTGAGACCAGCACAGCTCCCAAACCCATGAGTCATTCCAATCCCAGCAAAAAAATTGCTAGGGAGACAGATGTTTTGTTTATGAATTAATTCCTTCACTACATCTCGCTCATAAAAAAAAATATTCAGGCTTTATTTTGTATGCAAAAGATAAAGCATGACAGTCATGCTCCTGCATTATTTTTTTCTAAATACTATTTTGTTAAAACTGAAATGGCAGTGGATGTTGGTGATGCCTGAATAACTTGTTTAGGAAGAACCCTATCTTGCCAATGAAGACTTAATTTCTTGGTTTTAAAGTGTAAAAGTGTGTAACTTCTAAATATTCAGGTTTCTGGCTTTAAAGTTTACTTCCATAGCTCTTATGCTACAAAAACTATTATTTTTTGTGACATAAATTTCTTGTGACATAAAATTAAACTAAGGCCCAGGTACTATTTATTAACAGATAATGACATTGAAAGGAATAAAACTTTAGGCATTATTCAGTTTGACATCAAACCTTGAAACAGGAGATTGTTTTCATTTAGACAGTTTTGTTAGTCAACTAATTTTTAAAAAAAGTCTCATTACACACTCTAATAACATCAGTGGAGTTAGGCTACCTTAAGAGAAGTAACCATTACCATTACAGAGGCTCTTTCCTCTGTAAATAAAAGATTTATTTTTGTCTACCCCTAAAATGCCCAGAATACCAGTATCAACCAGTTCAAAAGAGGTAAGTTTACTCATGATGTGCACTTGTGTTCTCCTCCCCCACCCTCTGTAATCACAGTATCCTCCTTTGCACTTGGTTCATTGTTTTCTAACATAATACTTCCTCCTTCCCATCCGGCTTTCTTCTGTAACACTACTCTAAGGTGTATCTAATTTGTATTCCAGTGAAGAAAACTTGGCACTTCAAACCATTAATGGAAGCTAAGTATTCACACCCTAGTGAAATCCATGGAACTGAAAACCAGTTCCAAATTCACTGTCAGAAACTCCTCTCTTCGAATTATTTAATCCTGAATATATTACATTTCGCTTTCATTTAAGGGGATCTCTAGTCTTTATTCAATGACCTAGATATTACTCAACCCTGCAGAAAAAAAGACCCTTCTCACAGTTTTCACACCTCTTCATGCAGGAAGAGACACGCATCCATGCAGCTGAAATGTTAACAATCTGCAAAAATCCTACAGCAACTGACCAACAAATGTATGCCTTTAGTCATCTGAGCTACAGATGTAGCCCAAACTAAGGCTAATAACTCTAAGAAACAGATGTAACTTGATGTCATGGTTTTGCTCTCACACTGTCCACACAATTACTATTAGTTGAGAGAAGCTTTATGCAGACAAAAGAGAGCTGATTGGAGAAAATAATATGAACATTTATTACTAGCAAAATAAAACTAAAGAACTATATCTACAACAATTCTACTTAAGTAAAAGTGCTATGTATATACAGAAATACCTCTCCCCCCTTTCATCAGTTCAAGGAGGAGACGCAGTCTCATTCTCCATTCTCAGAGCCCCAGGTCTTTTCAGTAACTCTGCAGCACTCTAAAGTTCTTCTTCTGTTATCTCAGGATGACAACTCCTTTTCGCCACAGCTAGAACTCTTTCTTTTTCTCTCTTTTTTAATATGTCGGCCTCAGGCAGGGCTGGGCCTACCCCCCTCCTGGGCTAAGACTGGAGGTTGGGGGGTTACCCAGGCCCAGAAGGTTTTCTCTTCCATGGACTGCAAGGGGACACTTGCCTACCATGGATCTTCACCACAGGGTCACAGGGGATAATGGCTTTTGAGTCCACCCCTGTTCCCTGTGAGGTCCCTCCCCACGGGAGATCAGTCCTTGATAGGCCTCTCCGACATGGGTCTAGCATGGATTCCTCACTTGGATCCCAACATCTTACCCGAGCTGTTCTCACTCCGGCATAAGTCTCTCAGGGTCACAAATCTTTAGCGGCAGCATGGATCCCACACATGGATCCCAAAATCCCACCCGGGCCGTCTCGCTCCAACGTAGGTTTTCCTCAGGGTCACAAATTTTCAACAGGACTCTGTCTTATCTCAGATCTTTCATAATGTCTCAGTTTCTTTATGAATCTACTTACTCCAGTGTAGGCTCTTCCACGAGCAGCATGGGGGTCTCCTCACCCCAACAAACTTTCATAGATCGCAGGGTTTTATTGTTCAGTCTTTTTTCCTGCTGAAGGGAGAGAAAGAAAGTGAGAGAGGGGGGAGAAGCAGTCCCCCCTTCGAACTTCTCTCCCCTGCTCCAGCTTTGGTCTTGAACACTTTGTTATCTCTGCCGGAATTCTTCTGCAGCGGTTTTCGTCCAAGCAGTAAGTCCTCCAAAGTTTTTTCCTTTACTCTCTTACATGAGAGAAGGGGAGCTTCAGTGCCACACCTGCCCCCAGTGCAGGGCCGGGGAGGAGGGACACCTGGCCTCCACCTGGGGCCTGCTGCCTCTGCTACATGGCTACTTAATTTCAACTGCTACTAATTTTCAACTGCACCATACCCTTCTCTTCCGTTTTTCTTAAATATGCAATTAGCAAAAGTGTTACTAAACTTTTGATTGGCCTTTTTCTCCGGAAATCCATCTGGACAAAACCATCCTCAGCCCTAGGGGCTGGCTGGTGGGCAAAACCACGACACTTGAGCTGGTTATATAAGACTTTAGCACCACTGTATGATGCATGTAACTAATTCCTTAGTAAACTGTATGAAAAATAATCAAAAAGCTATAATCACCACCTCCCTGCCATCCTCGATCTTCTACTTTTGCATCAAAACCATCAATGTACTACTGGGTAAAATTCAGGCCTATTAGGGGCATTGTCAGTTGATAAAAAACCAAAACTACAGAATGTAACAGCTAGAGGTCACACCAATCCATGTACAATACCCCAATATATCCATCAGCTAGTAACTGCTGGGTTCAGAAAAGTGATTCTGTCACATTCCCACTTGCATTCTTCCCAATAAGTTTGAGATCAATCTAGTTTCTGAGCTAGGAGAAACAATATTAGGATTACCTCACTTTCTGTCTATCTTAAATAACAAATCAGCAAACAAATTTCTCCCAAAAGAAGCACATGGTTGTGGTATATGAGAGAAAATATTTTCACCAAACCATTTGCTTTACCTTACACTCATAATAAGACTAATATATAGCACTACTAACTTCCTTCCTTTATGTACAACCAACAGCAAAAAACAGGTCTTATTATGCCACAAAATAAAATCAGTGTGGGAAATGTCTCAGACTTTCTGTTGTTGCTGTAGGCCATATGATCTTTGCAGATGAATTAGATAAACAAAGTTTTTCATATACTAATTCCTATTTAGCATAAAGGAGAAAGAAAAGACATAGATGGAGAAGGGACTGGTGGAAATAATCTGCTTTTCTCAGACAAGTTTTAAATGTAGGCTACAATTCAGCAAGAAGACATCTGCGAACTGGAGATGACAAGCTGTTATTTCCATAAGACTCAATCTGACCAAAAAAGAAAACTATGTTGAAAGTATCAGAGGGGGTACACGAGTAGAAATATTAAAATTCTTCTCATAAGAAAAAAAGTTCACTATAAGCATGTCGAAGAAATAGCTAGTCACATTTTTTGAAAGCTACATTTTATGGCGTCAAAAAAGATTGCCAGTATGTTCATAATCTTTCTGTGCTAGAAAATATCCTCAGTCTAGTCTTCTGCACAACCACCTACCACAGGCATTTTAAACTGTTCTATTAGGTATTTTAAACTGTTTTATTAGGCATTTTAATTTTATAGCTAAAATCTTGGTTAATAAGCAGATATATGGCTAAATGCAGTATTGGGTTGGAAAGTTCAGCTATAGGTCAACTCCATCTCAGGGACACCCCCAGCACTACACACAGTTATTCCAAGTGTCATTAGGACAGGGAAAGGGAAAAACAAAGGAATCAAACAAACAAAACTGATTTTTACTTGCTTTCAGAGGGTTTTAAGTAATGGACTGGAAAGTATGAGAGAGACTACTGTGGAAGCTACCAGCAGGGGACCAGCAAAGCAGTGAGAGCAGAGAACCGCAAGGAAGGAAACAGTCAGGAACACCTAATCATTGCTTGCACACAGTAATATCTCCCATTCATCAGCAGTAGCCAGCTGGAGCTATTTTTCTTCTTCAAATAAAAGGTAATTATGCAAGAGACTGCCCAGCTCAGCAGTGGGAAAGAAGACAGCATGCATCTGAAAAGCTATACCACTGAATCCAAAAGTCTGTGCTTAACTGTGGTTAGCAAGGGCAGTGAGGACTTCAGAACTGCAGATCTTCAGAGGAAGGGCTGCAAAACTTCTGCAGAATGACAGCAGCAGCCTGATTTGACTTTGACCTAGAAAGACTACACCATCTCCCTTAGTCACCATGCCTCCTGTAGGCAAGCCTCAATGCACAGAGCCAAAGTGACTAATGACGTTCTTCAAAACACTCACCAGCATTGCAAGAACATACTTAGTCCTGCCGACAAGTTCTGAGCTGAGATTTAGTGGGAAAGAAAAATGATACAAGCAATTCTAATCTAATAAGAGCACATTAACAAAATTGTTTCAGTGACACTGGCAAGAAATCCAAACTTGATTGGAGGCAAGGACCTGCCAAGCCTTACCAGTTCTTCCACTCTAAGTCAAGATAACAAGATAACTACTTCAACAACAGTGTGGTAATTAAAGAGCCCAACACATCATACTTGTGTCAAAAAAAATTCCTGAGTTTTCAAATACAGTAGGTCATGTATAATAGAAGTAACTGGTTAGACACTGTCAAAGTGCATAAATTCATTAAAAACTAGTAATGAAATTAGTAATCTGACATTTCAAAACCAGAAACTATTCTCCACGTGTTGATGTATTAGTTTGAACAGCATTAGAAGAAATATAGATCTAAATCTTCTAAATCCAAATTAAAAACTGAAAGAAGAGCTTTCTATTTAGCAGTTGATAATCCTGTCATCTAATATTTGACAGATTAAACCACTAGATATCTGTCCATCCAGAAGACGACTATTTATTTGTGCTGGTTTCAGAATACCCAGCTCATGTTTGACAGACAGACATGTCCTGTTTGCGCCACGCTTAGTCATGTTGCTCCACCAAGCATTCCTCCCTTACCTGAGCATTCCATATTGCACACCAGGTTCATGCCCGTGCTTGTGACACATAAGCATGAGGTAACTGCAGGGCTTAGGCGTAGGATAAAGGTATGCAACAGACTCATAAGTCACATGCATCCACACTAGGAGAGTTCAGCACTGTAGAGGCAACCCATAGGTAGTACGATGGACAAATGATAAATGGTGATGCTGACAAGTGTTTTAAGACAGACTCCTTTGCAGCTCCTGAAGAGATCACAGACACATAAAAGCAATGCAAAGGGATTAATGCAATTTACAAGGAATTGGACAAAGTCTGTGTCTATTTAAAAGTAGATTTGAAAACTGTAATTTATACTCAAGTTGTCATTTTCACTCAACTAAAAATCCACAATGAGAGCCATCAAGCATTCCCAAAGGAGAACAGAGACACGGTTAGAACCTATTCATAAAGAGAGATCACGTGAAGCAATAAATGAAAGTAGTCAGTCTTCAGTAACAGCTGAAATCAAATGAAACTCCTAAGATTCCAACTCATTCTGAATTTCTCCTTATGGTTATTAATTTTTTCAAACACAAATTGCCTTTAGGTACAGAGTTAGCTTGCTTGCCCTGTATTGAGGAAGTTCCAGACAGATAAAAACAGTTTTCCCTCTTTTCCAAAATTAGGCTTAGACTGAACAAAATTTCTGGGATGATGAAATGCTTGCTAAGCACTGCCAAAAGACAAACAGCTATGTAATATTCCATGTAACTTCCTTTCAGTTTCTTGTGAATTACTGTGTGTGTGTATTAGTTACCTTGAAGAACAGCAAAGGAAACTCATTAAAAGGCATCCTTAAATCGTATGAAAATGTAAGGCGCCAGTTACCACCTTCTAGCACAATTGCACAAAACTAAGAGGCCATCTCTGAGCAGAGAGCACATCTCTTCCTTTAAATCAAAGCAGCAAAAGATATGATGAATTTCACTAACAGTAGCATTTCAGGCTAACAAATGGTTTAATAATACAAAGTGCTCCAAAATACAATTAAAAACAAAAAAAAATTAGATGGTCAACCATAAAGTAATGAGTGGTAGTTCTGTTACAGGTACATAAAGAGATGCAAACTGAAAGCATACTGAAATAAAACACTGGATTTGGAAACTCACATTCATAAATAGTATCCTTCTGCTGTCCCACGTAAGTTTCCCTCTTCCCATTTTTTTTTTTTTTTTTTCTGAAACAGCATTTCCACATATGATGACAGAGGAGTTAACATGCCTTGTCTCCAGCTATTAAACCAACAAGAAAAAAAAGGGGTAAAAAGGGGAAAAAAACCCCCATTTGCAAAGGTCAGACTTCCAAGCTGTTCACACTTGGGTGTAATGACAGCATCCATAGGGAAAGATTGCCTTTCTCTTCCTGCTCTGTTTCAAAATGGCCTTTGATTACTTTCATAAACTTGTTTTGCTAAATTGGAAATAGCTAGGAACTGGTGGAAAATGGCCAGCAAATGGACCTTCTTCAGTCACTCAAAAAAGTAGAAAAGTAGAGAAGAGGATCCATTTCTCTTACCAGAAAATGATGTACAGTATCTGCACTACCAGTGAAGTCTAGAATTTAGGGTTGCCTACAGAAATAATGTGCATTAGGCAGCTACCACCAGCATTATGCAAGCTTCAGTGTGACATCAATGCTCTTCTTCTAAAACTCAAACCACTAAACAGGATTGATGCCTACTGACTTGCAGATTAAAAGAAACTGTTTTTAATGAAGCATTTGATTGCCTTAAGAGATGGCATTTTTAGAGAACCATTTCCTGGCACTCTCACTGTTGAACACATTAACAGAAGATCTCAGAAGTCTTCTACAAGAGGAACCACTACCTCCACCTCAAAAAGGAAAAAAAAAAAAAACCACATCCAACCAACTTTATCAATATAGTAATAATTCTTGTGTCTGCCAGGAACTGTCTGTCTCTAACTGCAATGTATCCTTCCATTATGCAGTTCAAGAAAAAAAAGTTTGCCTCCATGCTAAATCAGCACCAACACCCTTTAAAATTATTATGACAATCTGGGCACAAAATGAAAATACTTCTTTTTTTTCAGCACTGTACTGCATTCTGTTCAACTCCTCTACTCCCAACTCAGTTGAGCTGTAACTCCTTTCCTGTGCTTACTGCTTCAATATACTTTTGAGGAATGTCTCAAACAATTCAAATCTGCAGATTGTATCCCACAATGTGGATACACAAAAGTCATATTGATTTTAGCAGACTATAGGAGATTACGTAATTTATCAAATTCCCAATTTATGGATCTTCAGTATCTACTTTTGTTTTGGGTTTTTTCAGGGGGGAAGAGGAGGCAGCACTATGCAGGTGATACAGAAGAAAAGGAATTAGAAGTGAAGTGTTGGATCTGAAAGCCATAACCTTGGAATATTACCCACTCTGATCCACATAAGGTTGCATTTATTGGCTTTTTCTGTGTGTTCCCTGAAGGAGGAGTAACAAAGGAATGACCAACTGCCATTTCTTACATAAACTTAGTATCAAATATCAACACTAACCAGATCTTTGAGTCTGTGTCTTCCAGTTCAAATGTAGTGGTAGACTGCAGCTTTTAGTATTTCAGCTTTGTTTGAACAACAATGTTTCGATGTGAGAGAGATCTAGGACAGTTTTATAGCTTTAATAAAATGCCCTCCTTGCTATTACTTAACAACACATTTTCAACGAGAATAGTAATTACCTCATTTTTAAGGACGAATGAAGGGGTTGTAGGTAAAAGGCAATAACTTCAAATTACCCAAACTTCATGAATAGACACATGGTTATATGGTCCTACATATCTCAGGGCTTTTAAGTCAACACCGAACAGTTTACTTGAAATTAACATGTTATTCTGGCTATTTCCTCTGTAACTGATGATGAAGATCAATTTCATTTTCCCTTCAAGCCTATGTAATTTTTTATTCATTCTCATATTTGTCAACACTCCAAACAAATTAAGACTAGACTTCAGCCCTATTCCCTGACTACACTATCATTCCACCAGAGAATTACAGGATTTTATTTTCATACCCAGTCAGCATGGCCTCTGAAGCTCTAACAAGAAGGTTGCTCCTCTCTTGTGTTGCAAAGATGATGCTAACTATGTTTCACATACAGAGAGAAAGAACTAGGTCCTTCAAACATCACCAGGTTTTCTCTGCCTTCTGTTAGGAGAGCTCACTCTTCTCAGGATCTTATTTCTCAGTAGTCAACAAGCCAGCTCATACAGCTGTGTTCGCACTAAGGAGATGTGTTTTCAGTGTACCAGCACATTTGCTGCCCAGTCAGTTTACTCTGAGATCTGTCAGTTTTCCTAAAATACGTACAAATGTTAGTTGAGTATTCAAATGTATGCAGTACTCCTTATAGCTTTTGCAAATATATGTAACTGCTTTAAAGTGCTTGACACCCAGTAAGCCCAAGGTACAAACACCTGAGGAAGGCATAAATAGAAACTCAAATTGCTACTCACCTTATTATTGCCCAAAGTTCCTGTTCTTCCATAACAAAAGCAGGTAGCCTTGTTAAATAAGTTATGTAAATTAGATTCAAGATCAAACCCAAATGTTTACTGTCCTTTATTTGTCTTTCCTGCTATACAGTAGAACTATTTACTGCTCTGAGGCCTTTTCACAACTGTAATAGGAACAATTCAGATCTAGTATTTCCTGGCACAAATCTCTAGAGCTGTCTTCACCAGAAACACAATTCCCTCTTTATTCATTTCTGAAAGGAAAGAAAAATGGTTTAACTTGGGGGTGTAAGCCCTGTTCCAATACAGTAGAAAGGATAAGAAGTGTGAGAATGTACATTGAAGTCAGAAGGAAAGTATTTTTAAACAGATTTGCATCAACTAGAGTCTTGTTTTAGGATTGTTAAAATCTTATTCAGATCACTGTTACTAATACTCTATCCTGTGATCAACACTCTTCACTGCAATAAACATGGCACTCTACACCTTGTTAAATATCCAGGTTTTATACTTTTTTGCTGGTAGCTTCACATTTTTCTTTCTTTGAAATCTTCTTTTAATATTAATCTTTCATACTGATCATGCTGTAACCTGAGTAAGCATCCTGCTGCAACTACAGTCTTTTTAACCACTTATACCTATGTAAAATTTGGTAAAGGGAGTGAACAGGAGATAAAAGAAAGACAATCCAAGTACATGACACCAGGACAAGGAGAAGGAAAACTGAGAAGGAGGAAAGAATATAAGAGAAGGAAAAGAAGCAAAGTCCTACTAATTTGTACCACAACAAGCGCGCAACAGGGCAGACTTACAAGAAGGCAGAAATGTCTTCCTTTAAGAGGAAGAAAACCCAAAAGTGTCATACATTCAAGAGAGATAGAGAGTTTTGTGATGTACACAAGTATCTTTAAAGTTAACGAGGTTCTGTGCTCATTATGTTCAACAACTGGAGAAATCCCTGAGAGAAATCTTCAGGACAGGTAGTTAAAAGCCTCACAGATAATTACTTGTATTTAACAGCTCTTCCCACAGCTCTCCCATTATGCAAGGAGGATTCAGCCATGCATTTTATCATAGATATTATCACTAATAAAATATATTAAACACAGTATAAATAAAAGACAAAAGCAAAGAAATCCAATCAATCACAAAATTTCCCACACTCCACAGAGAAAACAAGGCAGTCCATTCGATTTTGTACACATTCACCTTGCAAATAACATTTTCCTCCCAACTCTGGTAAGTACTAGCTATTATGTTACCCTTATAACACTAACTTTTTGACATTTGAATACAGCAAGTTTTAGTCTTTAAACAAACTCACTGGCTTACAGAATTCATTCATCTTTGTCCGCACCTCAGGTCAAAGCAGGACCTGAAATTTCATAACTGGTTCTCAAGACATAACAAAAAAAAAACAAAAAAACAAAAAAAAACCCAACAAACAGACCGAAACTCAAAGGTCTGAATTCAAGCCTTGGCAGATACGAGAAGTATTAAAATGTTTGGGCTTTTTCTTAAAAGCAAGTTATGTGCAATATGTGCAGTGTGTATTTGAGGAGTGACACTGAGCCAAAATATAAACTGAAAGATGATATTCAGCATGACAGATACATGAGGCCACCGATGAAACACAACACATACATATAGGCAGGGAAGTTTCAAAAAAGGAGAACCACTAAACAACATCCTTAATACGGTCTTTCCCTAAATGGGTATCCACATATGCTTTCTTCTGGCCATTCACTGTTAAGGAAGCTGAACCTTGTCTTCCACAAGTCCAGATGTTTTTATCAAGATTCCAATGGCACTGAATGCTTTTTAAGAAGTGGGATACTACCAGGATTGCAATACTTAAAAATCTTTATTATTCCTGTCTACATGTTACAAAGTTTTCAAAAAAAATGAAAAAAAAAAAGTAGTCAACTACAGTTTTAAAGTTAATATGCCAAAATACTCAGGGGGAGGATGGCGGGAAAGGGAGGTGGAGTGGGGAGGGAAGCTCAGAGGTTTCTTGCCTTCAAAAAATAAGAATTAGCATTACTCCATTTGTCTGAAGAAAGAAAGAAGCATTCTATTTGCAAAGTATACATGTGTTATGGGCTACAGGATCTATTAGTATTTGAGAACCTTCTGTCTCTCCAAAAAATTTCATATAGGAAGGATTTCAAGAACAAACAGGCAATCCTGGAAAAATCAGCATCTATAATAAAGGAGCCATGAGTGTAGGCACACAGTACATGATAAAAATCTTGTTCTTACAACTTCTTAAAAGGTTTTCATCTAATTTTTACAAGGATACTAACTTGTCAAAAGCTACATCATTTAAAGAGCTGCTTCTAAACCCTCATGATAGAGAAAGATTCTGAGACTGCGAAAGAAAGAGTTAAGTGTGTTCTTTGCTTTTAGCTACTATGCCTAGGGATGTTTCATTCTTTCTTCGAAAAGGAATCTTTTGTATGGTCATCTGCACAGCAAGTAAAGAAAGCAATAGATGTTTTTCCAGATAAGGATATCTATGGGTATAGCCCTAATAACCAGATGCACACTTTAAAATCTTTGCAGCTCATTATTTTTAGTTGCTTACTCATCTTAACAATTCTAGCATTATTTATATACTTAAGTGAGACTATTTTATTACCATAGAAAAGAACAATTTCATACCCAAACATAATTGAAAGATTTCCATCTAGAATCAATCAAGGATTGTTATACAGATAATCCCACACTGAAATCAATTGCTCTTTCCAATGAAAGATTAAAAGATAACTAACATATGTATTCTCATGCCTTTGAACATGCACTGCTCAAATTTTACACTTTATTAAATACAGTATTAAAGTATATATATTAGACTTGCCAGCACCATAATCTTGAGGCAAACAACCACCCACCACCTCAAATTTGTTGTTTTCTACTTTTAGGGACCCCTTAGAACTGGCAGAGCATTAGCTTCTTTTGGTCCACTACAGCATAAGAAGCAATCATTTAGTTTTCTATCTAATATAATTCTGGTGTCCTTATTCTATATGCATTTCTTCCAGTCTTTTATTGTAAGATTTTCTGATACAAGTTATCCAGCCCTGTTAATTTATAAGTTTTTATTTATAACAGTTATTAGTGGCATTTACAGAACACTTACTTTTATCCCTAATCATCAATAACTTCATTGTTTCATTTAAAATATTCAACTCTCACAGAACAATAAGGAAACACTATGAGAGGGGAGAAAAAGGAAAGCAGAGAGAAATGGAAGCTACAAAGTAAGACACAGACTCATGGAATGGCTTGGGCTGGAAGGGACCTTAAAGATCATCCAGTTCCAACTCCTCTGCCATGGACAGGGATACCTTTCACTAGATCAGGCTCAGAATCTCATCCAGCCTGGCCTTGAACATTTCCAGGGATGAGGCATTCACAACTTCTCTGGACAACCAGTGCCTCATCACTTAAAAGTAAAGAATTTCTTCCTAATATCTTATCTAAAACTACTCTTTCAGTTTAAAGCCATTCTCCCTTGTCCTGTCACTCTCCATCTTTCTTGTAGGTTCCCTTCAGGTACTGGAAGGTTGCAGTTAGGTCACCCCAAAACCTTCTCTTTTCCAGGATGAACAATCCAAATTTTCTCAGCCTTTCCTCGTAGGACAGGTGCTTCATCCCTCTAATCATCTTGGCAGCCCTCACCTGGACACACTCCAGCAGGTCAATGTCCCTCCTATCCTGAGGACCCCAGAGGTGGATGCAGTACTCCAGGTGGGGTCACACCAGAGCAGAGTAGAGGAGTGGAATCCCCTCCCTCAACCTGCTGGACATGGTTCTTGTGATGCAGCCCAGAACACAACTGGCTTTCTGGGCTGCAAGTGCACATTGCTGGTTTAAGTCCAGCCTCTCATCAGCCAGCATCCCCAAGTCCTGCTCGGCAGGGCTGCTCTCAGTTTGTTCATGCCCTAGCCTGTATTGATACCGGGAGGTGCTTTCACCCAGTTGCAGCACCTTGCCCTTGGTCTAATTAAACCCCATGAGATTCCCATGGACCCACCTCAATCTTGCCCAGGTCCCTCTGGATGGTATCCCATCCTTCAGGTGTGTCAACCACACCACTCAGCTTGGAGGCATCTGCAAATTTGCTGAGGGTGCACTCGATCCCTCTGTCCTAAATGAAGATATAAATAAC